TTTTTTTTAGCAGCAGATTAATTTTAGAGTTCAGCCTTTTACACGAGGCTCAGTGGATGCTTGTTGCTGCTGATGCAACACAATTAGATTAGTGAAACTCAACAGCAGCATCTCTTTCTGAACACAATGGTCAGTCTGTGTCGTCTTCAGGTCTCTGGATTACTCAGGATGAAGCTCAGAGTCAGGCGAGGTTCAGAAAACCGGAGACCTGATCCCTGTGACTGGGAAAAGACTGACTGGGTGGTCAAACATCTGTAAACTACCTCCACCCACCAGCAGTTTTGTGGAGGTTTAAACTGTTACGACACAGAGACTCGCAGGCCGCTGTCGCATTATATCTTCTGTGAAAGGTTGTCCTCACTTGTCTGCAGGCCGTGAACACCTTTGGGTGCTTTACATAAGACTGGTTATAAGTGCTGATGCTTTAAAGACAATTGTGGGGAAATTACTTTAAATGCAGTGAGCTGGCAACTGAGGGGCTGAAAAAGGAAGTGAACACTAAAGGATGCCCATAAACTCCCAGGGTTTAAAAATCCAGCTTTACAACGAAAAATACAAACATTTATTACCTGGTGCAAATAAAACATTTAAAAAATATTTTATTATATGTCCAGTCCATTTCTGAAGTGTGCTGCAGCTGCAGTGCCCACCCTAAGCTGTAAGATTTCTTAAGTCTGGATTGGCTTCGGGCAGTTCTGACATCAGATGCTCAGATGCATGAAGGCTCCCTGGCAGACATTTTCAGACCATCTGAGAACATTTTGTAGTCTTCGTTTAAATAAATTACCCACAGTTCATAAAGGTGCGGGCTTCACGGGGTTAATTATTTGTCCTGAACTGTGGTGACTACACAGGTTTGGACCTAAATGCTGGCCACAGGCAAAGAGAAGTTCTAACAATGAAAGGCAAATCTTTATTGAGGCCGACAACAAAGTCTAAAAATCAGAACCCAGCAGAAATCCAAAACACAGAAGGGCACTGAGAGCAGAACACTGGGAAGCAACAACAAACACTGACAATGGACAAAGAGAAGAAAAGGCTATATATACAGAGACTGGACGACAGGACACAGGTGGGGAATGAGGCACAGCTTAACACGATTAACACAGACGAGAACAATCAGGGAGGCTGCAGACAGGAAGTAAAACTAAAGCAGGGGCCAGAAAACAAAGCTAGAAGAGAGACGAAGTATAAAAAAGAAAGTTAAAACAGATGGAGGAATGACACAAAACTCAAAGTAGGAACCGAGGGTTAGTACGAACAGCAAGGTCATCTAAACGTGCGCCCAAAACTCCACAAACAACTAAACAGGAACCAGAACTCAAATAAAACAACAAGAACTGATGCTCAGAATCACTGGTGTGACAATGAGATCACAGCAGGAGTGAAAGACTCCAGAAAC